CCTGCTCGGCCCCATAGCTCCTGGCCCAGGAGGCTCACTCCCAGCCCCTCCCCCACAGCCATGCTGCTGGGTGGCGCAATACTCTGGGCAGCTAGGCTGCAGAGACCGGCCTGACACAGTGCTCTGTGCTGTGTGGCGCGGTACAGCTGTCTTTCCTGGTGCAGCCGCGCTGTCAGCCACTGGTGCTCCAGGCAGCGCGGTCAGGGAGCAGGGTGAGGGGGTTGGATAGAGGGCAGGGGAGTTTGGGGCGTGGATAGGGGTTGGGGTGGTCAGAGGGCAGGGAACGGGGGTTGAATGGGGGCAGGGATCTTCGGGGGGCAGTCAGGAAGGAGGGGGGGTTGAATGGGGTGGTGGGGGGAAGTTAGGAGCAGGGGGCAGTTAAGGGCAAGGGGTTTGGGGGCAGTAAGGGAGAAGGGGTGGTTGGATGGGGCAGGGGTCCCAGGGAGCAGTTAGGAAGGAGGGGGGATGGATGGGGCAGCGGGGGGGTCTGGGGGTGGTCAGAGGACGGAGAGCAGGGTGGTGGATGGGGCAGGGGTCCCCGGGGGGCCGTCAGGGAACGGGGGGGTTGGATGGGGCAGGAGTCCCGGAGGGGCCGTCGGGGGCGAGAAGCAGGGGAGTTGGATGGGGGTAGGGGCGGGCCATGCCTGGCTGTTTGGAGAGGCACAGCCTCCCCTAACTGGCCCTCCATACAATTTCAGAAACGTGATGCGGCCCTCAGGCCAAGAAGTTTGCCTGCCCCTGGTTTAGGAGGACAAATTCGGTGAGATACAAATGTATGCTGAATCCCTTTCCAGAATTGGCAGTTTCTGGTGGAAAAACTATTTACTCAAAAAATTCCTGACCTGCACTACCCATAAACTAAAAAGTCAAATAAAAAACCTGAAATTGATTATTCTTTGAAAATGCATGATTTTTAGTCAATCTAATGATTTTTAAGGCCCTGACTCATGTTTTTTGAATAGTTGCATCTGGCAATATTGAATTCCACACAAATGATTTATTTATATTGTTGTGCCAGCTGCTACACAATAAGGACCTTGGCTGGGGGCTTTTGATCAGTGCCACAATAAAATAAAATAAAATAATAAAAAGTAAATAATAAACATAAATAATATTTTTAGAAATTGCATATTCTCCATCTATGAGTGTGTTGCCTTTCAGGCTTATGATGAAAAAAGGGGTTAACAGCTCTGTGACTGAGGCATTCTGGGAGCTGTAGTGCTTAGCAAGAATCCTGGGAGTGGTAGTTCTTTTTCAGCCTTTCTCTTCCTCTCTGTAATGGCTGCATGTTATAAGGTACTGTCTCCGTCTGTTCTTCTCTGGGCAAGTTTATTTTAAAATTCTGTGCTACCATTTTTTGTTGGTAAAATACCCCTCGAGGAGGGCCCTTGGTTCCGAAGGTGGTATCACCTCTAGCAGTGCTGGGATGTTAGCCCTGGGAAGAGAGCTGCTGTATGGAAGGTGGCATGGAGAATAAAGAGCAAAGGGGTTAACTGGAAAATTTACTGTAACTGCATCTGGGATTTCATAACTGCATAGTGATTTTAACTTAACAAATATATTTTTCAGCTTTACAAATATCATATATTCCTATAATGATGAAGGGGTGGAAGGGAGTAGCTAGCTGGCTGAATTCCTGCTGAACTGATCACTTTCATGCTGATGAGATTTAATTGTATTGTTAGTTGTGTGTTAGGGCACCTAAAGCCTTGGATAGGTGTGTTTTAAATTGTTGTTATTCAAGTTGAAATAAATGAACCTTAACTGAAACCATCAAGTTAAAACTATTTTTAAGAATTACATTTTTCTGTTACTAATAGTGCCTTTAATTATTAAAACTGAAAGATATTTTAAAATCTAATTTACTTATTGCTTTGTTTTTTATTAGCTCTCTGATTGACTAGTATATATTCACTGTCCAATCTCAATTTTTTCACCATCAGTTTCATTTTCTGGTTCTGATGCACTACCTACAAGCCTGCAGTGTTTTGATTGCAAACATTGCAGGAGAAAGCTTAATTGAAATTTTTAAAAAATTAATAGAAACAAATGTTTTGGCCATAAGTTTTGTAAAAGTTTGGTTTCAAAATACTTACATTTTGGGACAAATTTAATCTGACAACATCTATTTAAGAGAGATAATTATTTGTGTGTAATTATTTCTAGGCAATGCACCTGCCCAGTTTGTCTGAACCACACAGTAGTTTAAGTATCATGAAATAACCGTTTTTGTTTGTTTTTAATTTCCGAAGAGCTCAGGTGAGGCTGTATTAAAAACAATTATTGAATACTTATGCTTTTCAGAACATCAGGTACTCTGACTCTCTTAGTGGTGTTTCATATTGTTTTTATAATGCGGTTAATTGAGTCAACATAGAAAACTGTGGACCAAATTGACCTGGCATAAGCAGCTGAAACTCTATTGACATCAATGAATCGCATCTTTTTAAGTGAAGTCTAAATTTGGGGCTGTGCAATTAAGTCCAGGGCTGTAGATGACTGACCTGATTGTGCATTGTTCTAACAGAAGCATGTCAAGATATGGGCAAGGAAAACGATGTGTAGAACAACCCCTTGGGGCTATCAGCAGCCAAGTGTCAATTAGAGCAGCCCTCAGGTTGCTATAATTTGTACCAGGGGCTAGGCGCGACCTAGCCAGCTTGTGAATAGTGGGAGGTGCAAAGGAATTCTTCCTGATTCCGTCAATGCCTGTGACACTTGACAGTTAGGTCAACAATTTGAAATACTCCGCTTCTTGCCATGATAGGCTCGCTGACACAGTGGATGGAATTAGAGAGTTAAAGTGGTGTGTTAATAAAAGGCCTGAAGGTGAACAAAAAATATCTGCTACTGACCTGAAAGAAACCATGATATCAAGAAATTAAAACTGGCATACTGTGACATATATGGCATATACCTACTTGCCCACATCTGTGTCTAAGGTGTTAAAAGAAAATGACCCTGAATTTTATTTAATTGTAAAAATATTTCTGTCTCCATGAGTTTAAAAAATAGAAGATGAGACAAAGAACTCCCACTGAGATTAATATAAATAACATGGAATTTATTTAAAACAAATCTCTTGGTCTTCTGTAACTGTCTTGAGAATTTTGACTGTTGCGGGGGAAGGTTCCTTCCCTCATTCTCTGAGCCTTGCACTTTATATCAATCACACCTCTGAGAAGTAGGTGTAAAATGTTACCATAGCAGAATAATAGCATTTTTCACAGATGTAAATACTGACGCAAAGTGCTAAAGAATCAGGCCTTCAGAAATAAATACGAGGACTTTATCCTTCATGGTTATTCTGTAGTGAGACGGTGACTATTTCTTCTTCCTACTTTCTTGAGGCAAGGTGGGAGAGGGAGTTCCTTGTTTGCTCTCCAAACCCTGTCACTTCAGGCAGTGCAATTCTTCAGATTTCTTTCTCTGAAAAGTCCTAGCATGTGGTTATCTGAGAGGGGATCTCTTCCCCTATAATCCACTGCAGTGGTTAAAATTATCTGGGATGCTCTTTATGTTGGTTTCCAGGCAGTGTCTCCTACTTCCTCCACAAACTCCAAACCTCTCCTTGTTGCGGAAGAGATGCAGAGGAAACTGCAGGGAACTTCATGGAATTTCCACTTGACTTAATCCATTCCTACATAGTATTTTGTTTTCTTTCTGCAAGAAACCCTAAAACTTTTTCAAACAAGTTAGTAGAAGCTTGAGTTTTCCCCTCCTAAAATGGAATTACCTGCATCTTTTGAAACAGGTCACCCAAAAACACATACACTTTTTACTTTAATTGTGTTGCAGTTCAGGATCAAGACACTTAAAAATAATGACCTCTCTTGAACCAATGCCTTGAAAAAAAGTTTTGTTAGTTGAATGAATGGCGGATTGCCAACCAAAATTAGGTGGCCTGTTTCCTCTCAAATTGACACAGGAAGGATGAGAAAATATGGACAAAGACAAAAGGACTCGCAGTATTGGCAGAGGCGGTAGGAACCCTTAGTTCCATAACGAATCCTTTCTTGTGTCACAGTCTCACTGAAGTCAATAGGACTACTTGTCAGAGTAAGGACTATTCATGTGAATATGGAATGCAGGTTTAGGCACCTTGATAGGCCACAACAGCAGGACTTCCTGTTACAAACTGGAAAAGATTCTGTGATGTGAAATGTACAAACTGGTGAAGAAATAAAGACCTTTCCCTGAACAATGGCCATAATTTCCAAAAGGAATAAGTACTATGTTACTGTTCTTGCATCACAGTAGAATAGTTCAGACAAATTAGTTGTACTTAAGACTGCTTTTTTTTTATTTATTGAAATTATTGTAAGACTTTTTTTTAACTGAAATTATTTTAATTAATTAAATTAAATTATTTGTAAATTTAATTTGGAAATATATGCACAATAGGCTATGTAGCATTGTTGCAATGGCACCAATCCTGCAAACACTGATGCATGTCAGTAGTCTTGCCAATTAACCTGTTGCAAGATCAGGACCAGTGTTACTAATACACTCATGGCCATGCTCTGCTCTCAGTTACACTAGTGTAAGATTTTCTACACTAGAAAAGATTTGCTGGTATAGATATACTGGCAGAGCTATGCCAGCAACCTCCCCAACTGTAGATGCAGCTTATACCAGCAAGAAAGTTCTTTTGCCAGTATAATAGCTTAAACCAGTTCCCCAAATCAAATAAACTATACTGGCAAACTGACTCTTTTGCCGGCATAACTGTGTCTATGCTTCGGCTTTTGCCGGCATAGCTATGTTAATTGGGATGTGACTTTCTTCACACTGCTAACCAACATAGCTATGCCAGTAAAAGTTTCTAGTGTGGTCCAGACCTAAATCTGGGATGGTTCCATCTAAGGTGGAATGGCATTACTACATTTATATTGATGCAACTAAGAGCAGGATTAGACCCCTATTTAGCATTTTAAAATACATTTTTTTTTAAAAGCCAATGAAAAAGTGGCCCATATTGTATCTGCTTTAAATTTCAGGTGCTGAACAGTAAAAGCTGAGATGAAACCTCACGGTGGCGTTGGGCTTTTTAGAAGTCTGCTTGCTAATTGTTTTCATCGCTATCACCATCACTGCTCTCCTCTTGTTAAAAGGATAGGTCACATGATGGAACTATCTATCTTTAGGCGCAATTATTTATTAAAAATAGTTAAACCTACTCTGTCACTTAATGATTGGTCAAGGAGATATCACCAGGATTTTAGAGCACTGTGGAAGCATGAAGCTGTGGAAAAATATCTAGAGACCTTAAACAGAGAATACCAGCGGGTTGGCCAGTTGTTAAATAGTGGCTCAATGAATGAGTATGATCGAAGCACTCTGAGCAGAAGACATAATCATTTATCCACCCTTGTAGCTGCATTTCAAGAAATACAAGAGGCAGAAAGAGAAGTTCAAGAGATAGAATCCATGTGTACAAGTAAGTAAAATGCATCTGTTTACGCAAAGCAGCTTTTTTTATGATGCAATATGCCTTATTACCCAGAATTTGAAACAAGTCACTCAGGGAGCAGTACACTAGGCACATACATTTTCCTGAGGGTCCTCCGTGTCCCTATTAAAGCCTTCTAGATCCTCCCATTTCGTTTTGCTTTATCCCCACCACACCTACTCTTGAGGCCTCAGAGTGACCAATTTTGCAGAGCAGGCCAGTGTCATGTACATTACACATTCAAAGTCACGTGAATGCTGTCTTTAGCTGAAATATTCTAGAAAGCTTTGTTTTTAAGACTACTGTAGCCCTTGTTTCATAGGGCTAATGACAGTTTTCTTCCTAGGGACATATTTTAGGTAAGGCTAATTTATTTGGGCTGGGGGGGGGTGATTTATAGTACATCAGACTTGACATCGTAATTTAAATTTGGATTTTGGTGTTTGGTTCATTGATATCTATTAAATTATGGGCTTTGCACATCTCTTCGAGATGCTCAATCCCAAACCCTGAATTGTCAGGCTTCAGTTTAATCTTATGTGAAATACTAGTTCCTTGAAGATATTTGAGAATTCTCATGTGGAGTGAAATAAACAAATAGTTATCCCACAATCAAAACTATGCCCAGTGGTTTTCAACATATTGACTCATGATGTGGAAGATGTGGGTGGCGGGGGAGAAAGCAAGGTAGCAGAAATTGCTGATGATACCATTATTAATATTAGGACTAGGAAGAAATGCAAAGAATGGAGCTTACAAATTTGGTAATTGTGCAACACTGGCAAGTGAAATTTCGAGTATGTGGTGTAAGGTAATGCACACACTAAATAAGGAAAGTAGCCACTGATAGTACTACATACACTAATGGGTAGTAAATTAGTAGCAAGAGACAACAGAACGTAGAGCAGGGAGAACTTCGAATGGCAGCCAAAAGCCAATGTAAGGGATGCAGTGTCTACACAGACACTACATCGCCCTAACTACACCGACATAAGCCCTGCACCTCTCGTGGAGGTGGAGTTATTATGTCAGTGTAATAGGGCACTTACATTACAGCAAGGCTGTAGCGTGTACACTGACATAATTAGGTTGAGGTAAAATCCTTAAGTCGACCTAATTTTGTAGTGTAGACTAGGCCTTAGTGGTGCCGCTAGATCAAGGACGAGATAAATTGGTAGGAAAGCTTAGACTGCCACTGCCCTTGCTTTTCCTCTTCCTTTGGTAAAATAGAGGATGTTGGTCTCCAGGGTTGTTGATCCACCATAAATTTACTTTTAAAAACAAACACACAGATAAAAATCCTGATGTATTGGGACCCCACTCATTCTCAGTAAGGGGATAGTTCAGGATCCCTGCCCATTCAGTCCATAGTCTCACTGTTGAGGCTGCCAACAAGTTTGCCAATTACTGTAAATAGTTATTAGTTTTAGTAGGAATTAGATTATCAGTTTGTTTCATATGTGCCAGTGAAGAGCTGTGGCATAGGGAATGACTTTTAGCTGCTATTGACTTTGGCTAGGTTTGAACTGGAGATATAGAGGTAAAATCCTGTGTTCCCCATTTCTAGTCTCCCGAGCCATCCAGGACTCCTGAAGATCTGAACATTTAATTAGTAATGTACATCATCTTATGCTTCTGTCGTTATTTGGTATTTCATGCTGAGAATAAGCAATTCCCTGCAATGGAAACGATTATCTATTGTAATAGGTGTAATTTGGCATTTGTATTACAATTTGCTCTAAACTAAATAGATTGGTTAACATTTATTTCTATCATTGGAATTTAGAGCTAGACAGCAGAGTTGAGAAACAGATGCTAGAACTTGCCTTGGAAGAGAAGGAAATCATTAACCAAAAAATCAACACATTTTGCAAAAAGGTGAGCTAGAGGTGAAGGTACAGAGTCTTTAAGATGAACATCTCTTGACATCTTCATTTACAAGTCTTCATACAGCCACGCAATTTTATTGTACCAGACAAGATTTTTTTAACAACAGACTATAACACTTGCCGTTAATGAAACAGGTCTAGCTTCTGTTTTCTCATTGGAAAAGACCTGGAAATGTTTACTGTTAGAAAGTCTCACTACTGCCAAATGCACCTTAGAAGCTCTTTCTTTTAGACACTTTTTGTATGTGTGCTTGTTTGTTTGCTGTCATTGAAAAGTCTGTAACACAGTGAACTACTATGCTACGAAGACATGGCATGGGGTTCCGCCAGTTGTTCATGGCAGCAGAGAGGGTACAGAGATGTCTTGAAAGGCTTTATCCTCATGGAACTTTCAATCCTTTATCATTTTCTTCAGTTGAATGAGACCAGTGTGTGAAAATAATTGTAGTAAGAGAAGCTGAAAGAAATCCAGTGGAAGGCTTTATGTTGTGAATCAAGTGTTTGTATTTTAGAAAATTAAGATAATCTGATTGTATGAAATAGAATCTTTGGAAAAATAAGGTCAGTGTCAGTGTAAACTGACTTTCCTGGCTAGTATCATTATATTCACAAGGGAGGCTGCAGTGGTTGATTTGGTGGTCTCATGCTTGGCATTGTGGAGTTAAATTTTTAATTAGCCTCCATTAACACACCAAAATTTCAAAGTCTGGGGTTTGTGCATGTTCAGACTGATGCAACCATGAGAGCTGGCTGTAAATTTGATCGGGAAGGGAAATACTGATTTTTTTTTCTTTCTTTTCAGCTTTTCCAGAATATAGTGCCAAGGGAGAAACATGATGAAAGTGATGTTATATTAGAGGTGACATCGGGCAGAACCACTGGAGGTCAGCAAAGTCATCACAAGTAAAGGTTACTCCAAACCTCCATCCAGGTTTACAAGGCTTCGTTAAATTAGGCTTGAATAAAGACTGGGAGTGGATGAGTCATTACACAAACTAAAAACTATTTCCCCTTACCAATTTTTCCCCTACTGTTACTCACACCTTCTTGTCAACTGTTTGAAATGGGCCATCCTGATTATCACTACAAAAGTTTTTTTTTTTCTCCTGCTGATAATAGCCCACATTAATTGATGAGTCTTGTTAGACTTGCTATGGCAACACCCATTTTTTCATGTTCTCTGTGTGTATAAATATCTTCCTACTGTATTTTCTACTGCATGCATCCGATGAAGTGGGTTTTAGCCCATGAAAGCTTATGCCCTGATAAATTCCTTAGTCTCTAAGGTGCCACAAGTACTCCTCGTTCTTTCTGCTGATACAGACTAACATGGCTACCACGCTAAAGGCTTCAATTGTTTCTCTTACATTTTAATAATGTAAAATGGCACTTTGTAGAGATGAGCATTAATTTATCTGCATAAAGCACTATCTCCAACGACAATGATCTTTAGAGTTACTGCTAATGCTAAAAATTGGTAATTTTGAGGGAAGAGTCTATAAACTTATATTTCATGTTGTGCTGTCTAAATATTTAATTTTGTAGGTGACATTTGCCAACAGTTCACCAAAGAAATGTTTGAGATGTACCAGAATTATGCAGATTACAAATGTTGGATCTTTGACATTCTGAACTACACACCAGCTGAGATTGGTATGATAATGTTCTGTTCTTTCTGCCAACAAGACTAAGTTAAAGCTGTGTCTTTGGACTGTACCTCTTATGCAATATTTGTCTTTCAAGGTGGATTGCATCATGCAGCTGCTCATATTTCGGGAGACTGTGTCTACAGGTATTTAAAATATGAGGGAGGGACTCACAGAGTTCAGCGAATTCCTGAGACTGGCCTCTCGTCAAGAATGCAGCGTATTCACACTGGGACAATGTCAGTTGTTGTCCTACCTCAGCCAGAGGAGGTAAACTAACCTTTAATCAGAATAAAATTGAAGTGTCTTCCTGGCTTTTCTTTTTGGCATTTGAGTGTGTTATATTTAAAACAACAAACCCCAAAGGCTAAGCCAAGTTACTGCTATTATTTTATGGGTGCCAACCTATATTGTCAAGTCCAGACAAAGGATACACAAGCTTTTCTTCTGTGCCAGGCTGTAACTCTTGGCTCAGCACCTGGCTAAAGGATTCCCTACCAACTTTACTGGATCCTCAAAAGCAACTTTTTAGAAATCCACTACTGCCTGAGATACAGTGCAATTCAAGGGCATAAGGATACAGACCAGTCAGCTTAACTTCAGTACCCAGAAAGATAATGGAGCAAATAACCAACCAATAATTTTGCAAACACTTAGAAGATAATAAGGTGATAAGTAACAGTCAGCATGGATTTGTCAAGAACAAACCAACCTAAGAGCTTTTTTTCAGAGGGTAACAAGCCTTGTGGATAGGGGGGAAATGGTAGATGTGGTATATCTTGACTTTAATAAGGCTTTTGCTACTCATATGACCTTCTCATAAACAAACTAGGGAGATACAGCTTATATGGAGTTACTATACCGTGGTGCATAACTGGGTGGAAAACCATTCCCCGAGAGTAGTTATCAGTGTTTCACAGTCAAGCTGGAAGGCATATCGAGTGGGGTCCCACAGGGATTGGTCCTGGGCCCAGTTTTGATCAATATCTTCTTCCATTATTTAGATAATGGCATAGAGAGTACACTTATAAAGTTTGCAGGTGATGTCAAGCTGGGAGGGATTGCAAATGCTTTGGAGGTTAGGATTAAAATTCAAAATGGTCTGGACAAACTGGAGAAATGTCTGAAGTAAACAGGATGAAATTCAATAAGGACAAATGCAAAGTACTCCACTTAGGAAGAAACAATCAATTGCACACATACAAAATAGGAAATGCTGCCTAGGAAGGAGTACTGCGGAAAGGGATCTGGTGGTCATAGTGGATCACAAGGTAAATAGGAGTGAACAGTGTAACGTTGCAAAAAAAGCAACATTATTCTGGGATGTATTAGCAGGAGTGTTGTAAGCAAGATACGAGAAGTAATTCTTCCACTCTACTCCGCTGATTAGACCTCAACTGGAGTATTGTCTCCAATTCTGTGAGCCACATTTCAGGAAAGATGTGGACAAATTGGAGAAAGTCCAGATGATAGCAACAAAAATGATTAAAGATGACCTATGAGGAAAGACTGAAAAAATTGGGTTTGTGAGGGGGGACATAACGGTTTTCAAGTACATAAAAGGTTGTTACAAGGAAGGGCAAAAAATTGTTCTTGTTCACCTCTGAGGATAGGACAAGCAGCAATGGGCTTAAATTGTAGCAAGGGAGGTTTAGTTTGGACATTAGGAAAAACTTTCTAACTGTCAGGGTAGTTGAGCCTTGGAATAAATTGTCTAGGGAGGTTGTGAAATATTTGGCATTGGAAGTTTTTAAGAACAGGTTAGACAAATACCTGTCAGGTATCGTCTAGTACATCGTCCTGCCTTGAGTGCAGGAGACTGGTCTAGATGGCATCTCGAGGTCCATTCCAATCTTACACTTCTATGATTCTATGGAAGTTAATGTTGTTAAGCTCTCCAGCTCCTGGCATTCACAAAACTGACTCACTAGGAGTAAAACCAATTCTAAATTAAATAATGTATTGAGGCTTGGGAGTACATCTAGACAAAAGTTTGGTATGACACAATCAACCTTTCGGAATATTCTTTTTTCTTTTCAATCACACATCTTATTTTTGGTACTTTCCTCTGCTTAGATACACTCTAAATCTAGGTATCACCTTCAGCTCAGCCCTTTACCACACATCTAAATTGTGTCTGAATTTTGCCACTCATTTCTGTACATTTCCAAGAGCCAGCCTTTCTTCTCAGTCCATTCAGCTGAAGCTGATCCAGGCCTTCGTTGTCTCGCATCTCCATGGCTGCAAACTCCCTTTTGGTCTTGTTTCACTTAGATCCATTAAAAACATTGCAGCAAAAATCATCTAGGCTTGTAACTTTGACCAAGTCACTTCCCTCTTTGGATCCCTCCATTCGCTCCCCCTTATTCACCATATCAAGTATGAACTACTTGTCTTAGCTTTTAAGGCCCTTCGTGGCCTATCTCTAACCCTGTCCTGTCATAGACCTCAGCCAAAATCTTCAAACCTGGTGCTTAAAATTAAACTTGTACCTAAGCTGTAATTTTCAAAAATGCCAAGACAGTTTAGTAACCTAAGAACCATTAACTTGATAGAGTTTGTACATGTTTGTAGAGTGCCTTGAACAATGGAGCCCATGGGCTCCAGGCAGGCCCACTGACGGAGTGGGGGCAAAGGGGGCAATTGCGCAGGGGCTGGGGCAATAAAAAAGGGCCCCAGGGGCTGCTGCTGCGGGAGCTGGGAGCCCCGGGCCCTTTTAAATTGCCTGGGCTCCAGGGCTCTTAGGCGCGTGCTCCTGAGTCCCAGCACCCACCACGGGCTGCAGAACAGGGGAGGCAGGGACGGCTCGGGGGAAGGAGCTGGGCATAGGACCGCTGGGGGGCAGACTTGAGATTGGACTCAGGATCCAGCAGCCGCTGATCCAACATCTGTAGCAAAGGCACTGGCAGCACCCCACTGGGCACTGGTCGGGCTTTGTCTGGGGTCCGCCAGGGAGGAGAAGGGCAGGGTGGGTCTGGGAAACGGGATGGGAGGGTGTTTTAGTGACAGCGCTAGGCTGGTGGTGGGGGTGGTGTTTAAGGCTATTTTGATTTGGGCTGGTGGCTGTTCTTTCGGGTTATGTGGCTGATCTCATTTGGGGATTATCACTGGTATTTGGGAGTGATGGGATGATTGGAGATGGGGCTGGTAGTTGGGGGTGAGGATGTGTTGCTGTTGGGACTCTTGTAGAGCCTCACCAGAGGATTTATTTATGTTCACTAATAATAATCCTGGTGGATACTCCATCACTGACCATTTTAAAATCAAGATCTAAAAGATCTGCTGTGGGAATTATTTTGGGGAAATTCCGTGGCCTCTGTTATGCAGGAGGTCAGACTCACTAGATGATCACAATGGTCTCTTCTGGCCTTGGAATCTATGAATAAGAGTGTAACGCTCCAAAAAGAGTTTCAACTGGTGAATGAGTAATATGTCAAAGAGGGACATACAAGCATTGGGAGATTATTGTGAGAATTTTCATACTTCCACAGCTTTAGGTTTATAAAGCCCATTAGTGCACAGTAGGTAAATTTAATCATTATTTAGGTCACTGGTTAATGTTGGGACCCTCCCTCTCCCATATAGTACTACTCTGTTTGTTTCAGACAGACTTTTAGTTGAGATTTTCCTTCATGTGCTGGGTAGGAAATTGGCAGAGGGATGAGGATTAGCTGGAACACAATGCCACGATGAATTTGGCTCAGGGAGATTAAATGACTTGCCTAAGGAAACCCAATGAATCAGTGGCACAGACAGAGATAACCCAATGTCCTGCTCTAACCTTTAAGGCAATATTATATTAAGTATTCCCTAAATTTAGGCATAAAGGGCCTCATTTTTAAAGGAACCTCAGTTTGGCCTCCTTTGCAGATTGTTGCATAGGCATGCAGTGCCCATGACAGGGGGATTCTCTGGCTGCTTGTGGGCTGGTTCTGGTTCAGGGAAGGGGGGGATAGAATGCCACCTTGGGTAAATCACTTAATCTCTCTGGGCCTCAATTTCCGATCTGTAAAATGGTGATAGCAATCCTGCCTTTGTTTGTCTTGTCTGTTTAGACTGTAGTCGCTGTAGGGCAGGGAACTGTCTCCATGAGTGTGTACAGCACCCTGCACAATCGAGCCCTGATCTCAGTTGGGACCCAGAGGTGCTACTGTAATACAAATGCATAAATAATAACAGCTGTAATGGTTTCCCACTTGGATCTGAGTTATGGCATTTGCATGCTCAAGTACCTTTGGATACGTTCCTAGTTCCTAGTTCCGGTTCTCTGGAAACACCTTTTAAAAAAAAAAAAAAAAAAGGCAGATCTAGGCTGGTTACTAGAGCATCAGGTTACCCCTGGCCTGGGGAAGGAAGGGGAGAGGGAATTCTTCAGTGTTGAGACATTGCACTGCAAGTTCCAGACGCAACGCCTTCAGGTAGTGACACAATTACAAAAACTGCAGTTTATTCTGCCTCATCCTCCCAAAGGCCAATGAGAAGAAACTGCTTTGGTGATATAATGGGGAAGGGGCTGGGTGGTATCTGAGAAACAAACAAATTCTGAAGCAGCTCTGGAGCTTGCAGCAGTCCCAGGTGGATGAGAAAGGCAGCTGGATGGATACCCATGGGGAAGAGCTGAAAGTTAGAATCTCTGTGGTTGGTAAATGTGTATTAGAGAAAATGATCCACAGAAACACAGACAGTAGGAGACTGGAAAGAAGCGAAGGGGCTGTGCCCATCCTTTCTAGGGGGCCTGTTGACTGTTCTGCCCTGGGGCCCAGAATTGCTGTCGATGGGCCTGCCTCTAGGTGTGGCCACCACACAGATAATAAATAGTAACCTTTCTCTGTTCTTCAGCAGTTTTAGGATCTTAGCCTGCAAACACTTACACATGTGCTTAAATCAATGGGACTATACGGGGGATTTAAATTAGGCACATTCATAAAAAGAAAAGGAGTACTTGTGGCACCTTAGAGACTAACCAATTTATTTGAGCATGAGCTTTCGTGAGCTACAGCTCACTTCATCGGATGCATACCGTGGAAACTGCAGCAGACTTTATATATACACAGAGAATATGAAACAATACCTCCTCCCACCCCACTGTCCTGCTGGTAATAGCTTATCTAAAGTGATCATCAGGTGGGCCATTTCCAGCAGAAATCCAGGTTTTCTCACCCTCCACCCCCCCACACAAATTCACTCTCCTGCTGGTGCTAGCCCATCCAGCTGGTGCTAGCCCATCTTTACATAATCAAGTCGGGCTATTTCCTGCACAAATCCAGGTTTTCTCACATCCCCCCCACCCCCATACACACACAAACTCACTCTCCTGCTGGTAATAGCTCATCCAAACTGACCACTCTCCAAGTTTAGATCCAAGTTAAACCAGAACATTGGGGGGGGGGGGTAGGAAAAAACAAGAGGAAACAGGCTACCTTGCATAATGACTTAGCCACTCCCAGTCTCTATTTAAGCCTAAATTAATAGTATCCAATTTGCAAATGAATTCCAATTCAGCAGTTTCTCGCTGGAGTCTGGATTTGAAGTTTTTTTGTTTTAAGATAGCGACCTTCATGTCTGTGATTGCGTGACCAGAGAGATTGAAGTGTTCTCCGACTGGTTTATGAATGTTATAATTCTTGACATCTGATTTGTGTCCATTTATTCTTTTACGTAGAGACTGTCCAGTTTGACCAATGTACATGGCAGAGGGGCATTGCTGGCACATGATGGCATATATCACATTGGTGGATGTGCAGGTGAACGAGCCTCTGATAGTGTGGCTGATGTTATTAGGCCCTGTGATGGTGTCCCCTGAATAGATATGTGGGCACAATTGGCAACGGGCTTTGTTGCAAGGATAAGTTCCTGGGTTAGTGGTTCTGTTGTGTGGTATGTGGTTGTTGGTGAGTATTTGCTTCAGGTTGCGGGGCTGTCTGTAGGCAAGGACTGGCCTGTCTCCCAAGACTTGTGAGAGTGTTGGGTCCTAAGCATCCGATGAAGTGAGCTGTAGCTCACGAAAGCTCATGCTCAAATAAATTGGTTAGTCTCTAAGGTGCCACAAGTACTCCTTTTCTTTTTGCGAATACAGACTAACACGGCTGTTACTCTGAAACCTGCACATTCATAAGTGTTTGTAGGATTGGGGCCTTTTGGTGTAGCACAGATCCACACTGGTGTGTAAGTGTGGGAAAGAAGTCAAAAGTAGTCTCTTGTACTACATCTGCTTCTGAGTCTCCCTGCCAGTTGTTGTGGTTTTACAATAACATTTTCCTATTCTTTAAAGATTTTTCTCTCCCCTGTTGCTATGTGAAAGCTTTTGCACAAATAGGGGAACTGACCGATTACACAGGGGAAACCGTGAAATTGACTACACACAAATAATTATCAAAGGCACAGAGTAAACAAACTGAAAAGAACAGAAATGTTGTTTGTTTACTAATTTCTTTCAGTTACAGTCACCTAGGTGTTACTGGTAACAATGGGAGGCAAGCAAATTTTGAACAGAAGTGGTGTTTTTAAACTGATAGTGTCTCTTTAAAATGGTTATAAGCAGATGGTAACTTAATTTTCTTTGACTCTAGGTAGATGTTAAAGTGTATCCTAAGGATTTGCGTATAGATACTTTTAGGGCCAAAGGTGCAGGAGGGCAACATGTTAACACAACGGACAGTGCTGTGAGAATAGTTCATATTCCCACTGGTAAGTGTCTTGGATTTTGTATTTTTAAACCTTTGCCTTTTAGTGCATAGATGCACATAACCTAGATCCCAAAATCAAAGGCTCTGATCCTGCATGCTGCGTCACTTTAGGCACTAGGGTCTGTCTGCACGGAACAGCTGGCAGGACTGCAGCCAGTACAGAGAAAGTCAGGTGGCCCTTCTCATTTTTTGCAGGGGAGTGTGTTTGTTTATGTCAAAAATTGCATGGTCAATTTTATCTTTACAATGTGACAAACTTAATAAATGGACCACATTTTGGGGTGAGACAGGAACATCGTGGAAGACGTAAATAACTTCTGTAAACTGAGGACCCTTAACCTTCATTAAAGTTAATGACAATTGAGGGTACAGTTTGCAGCATCAGGTCCTATGTAAACAAAGGACTGAGATAAGTACCTCCTTATGTAAAGTGCTTTGAGATCTGTTGATGAAAAGTGCTATATAATTATTATATAACTGTATACACCTCTACCCCAATATAACGCTGTCCTCGGGAGCCAAAAAATCTTACCGTGTTATAGGTGAAACCGCGTTGTATTGAACTTGCTTTGATCCACCGGAGCACGCAGCCCTGCCCCCTCCCCCCGGAGCATGGCTTTACCATGTTATATCCGAATTTGTGTTATATCAGGTTGCGTATATCGGGGTAGAGGTGTATATATGTACATACACACACATACATACACACACACACACACAATGTAACCCTATATTATTATTTTAAACATCCTAATGTAGAAAGGGCAAATTATATTTGAACACGTTAGCGCCATGGTTCTCAAACTTTTGTACTGGTGACCCCTTTCAACTAGCAAGCCTCAGTGCGACCCCCACTCCCCCCTTATAAAGTAAAAACACTTTTTAATATATTTAACACCATTATAAATGCTGGATGTAAAGCGGGTTTTGGGGTGGAGGCTGACAGCTCGCGACCCCCTACGTAATAACCTCGTGACCCCCTGAGGCAGAGGTGGGCAAACTACGGCCCGCGGGCCACATCTGGCCCACAGGACTGTCCTGCCCAGCCCTTGAGCTCCTGGCTGGGGAGGCTAGCCCCCGGCCCCTCCCCTGCTGTCCCCCCTTAGCCACGCCACTGCGCGGGCAGCACTCTGGGTGGCGGGGCTGTGAGCTCCTGCCAAGCAGAGCGGCAGCGTGTCTACCTCTGGCTGGGCGGCGTGGCTGCCAGACATGCTGCTCTGAGTGGCATGGTAAGGGGGCCGGGGCGTTGCATAAGGGGCGGGGTGTCCTGGGGGCAGTCAGGGGACAGGGAGCAAGAGGCGGTTGGATGATTCTGTAGGGGAGGTGGTCAGGGGACAGGGAATATGGGGGGTTGGATAGGCGTGGGGTCCCGGGGGGCCTGTCAGGTGGCGGGGGTGTGGATAGGGGTCAGCAGATTGGGAGCAGGGGGGTTGGATAGGGGTGGGGTCCCAGGGCCCGGTTAGGGGCATGGGGTCCCGGGAAGGGGCAGTTAGGGGACAAGGAGCAGGGGGGATTGGATGGGTCAGGGGTTCTGAGGGGGGCAGTCAGGGGGCGGGAAGTGGGAGGGGGTGGATATGGGGTGGGGGTCAGGCTGTTTAGGGAGGCACAGCCTTCCCTAGCCAGCCCTCCATACAGTTTTGCAACCCCAATGTGGCCCTGGGGCCAAAAAGTTTGCTCACCTCTGCCCTGAGGGGTCCCGACCCCCAGTTTGAGAACCCCTGCGTTAGCTGGTTTAGATGAACCCTGGACTCCCAGATGCAGCACCATAATTAAAAGTGACCCAATGAACCTCAATAAAAAACCCCTCAAGTTCACCTCTACCAGCTGTGTTAAAACTTGTCCCATTTACACTACAGTTCTAAAATATACTAACTAAAATGTTTTAAAAATACACCTTTTATCCTAGTATGAACAGGCCCTTAGAGTAAGAGCAGGATGTCCGAAAGGTTTCATTTGACTAATGTTTTAGGATTAATCCTGTTTGTTGTTTGTTATAATGGGTCTTTTTCAGTGTTCTTTTGAATTCTACACAGGATTAACAGTAGAGTGTCAGCAGGAGCGATCTCAGCAAATGAACAAGGAACTAGCTTTGCGGACACTGAGAGCTAGGTTGTATCAGCAAATCATTGAGAAAGACTTCAGCAAAAGGCAGAATGCTAGAAAACTGCAGGTGAGAACAGGTTTTCCTTATTGAAACTTGGAGATGACATTATGCCATAGCTTTGAGCTTTCAGGATTAGCAACAATAATTTCCCCCTTTTTTTGTGTGTGTGGGCAGTAGGGGAGGTGTGTACAGACGGATGTAGGTAAAAAGGACAGCATGTGCTTGTAAATGTATATAAGAATCAGGCCCTTAATTACCACCAAAGCCGGTTTACACTGGTTTGGCAATGTACGGGGGGCCTTAATGTGGATATAATTAACCAAATTTAACTTCATAACTGCATGTAACTTACACCCACTTTAACTCTCTTTTACACTAACAAGCGATTAAAGGAGCTTTTGTGTAAATGAGAATCTGGTCCAGTGAGTTTTTGGTAGTCACATTCTGAAATACAATAATTGCTAGGATCCTGCAGAGTGGAGGGAAAAATAACAACGTTCTTGATACCAAAAATCTTGCCACTTTAGAGCCATACGATAATTTATTATGTCTTTGGAAGTTTAGCCAAACTATTGAGAAAGAAATAATTTAGACTGATTAACTTTTAAGTAACTGAAGTTAGTTTAAGTTAACCTTACAGACGAAGTTAAGTTGTAAGGTTCCCCCCCGTCCACCCGGCTGTACACTACCGTTCTTCTCTCTTGCTCTGAGCATCTTGCTCTTTACAACATGAACTTCAGTGGGCAGAAGCAATTAAAAAAAAAGAAAAAAGCTTCAGTACTTACAAGCTTCCAAGTGAGTTATTTAACCACTAATTGCAGATTGAATTTAAATTAACTCAGTCACTACAGCTGATGAAACCTTTATCTCTTGTTTGGAATTTAGGCTGAGATTTTTCAAAGCTACCTAAGGGATTTGGATGTGCACTTCCGATTAAAATTAATGGGAATTGGACATCCAAAGTGAAACTCCCACCCTTAATGTTTCACAATGCATTAAATCAATTTCTTGTTTGGAAATATAAACGTGGCTGCAAGTGAGATTTTCAAAATCTCCTAGGCGAGTTAGGCACCTAATTTCTGTTGATTTTAAATGGAAGTTGTGCACCTATTTCCCTAGGCACTTTTCAATATCTCACCCTCCATTTTAAAAAAATAAACAAACTACTTGAAATTCAGTTTTGAAACTTTCAGATTTGTTTGTAACTCCATCTTGTCACCACTAGAAGACACCCTATATCACAAATACTCTGTTTATTCCTTTGCTTGTGTTCATTTTTCTGAGCCATACTCTAGTATGGCTCCTTCACCATCCCTCTGTTATAGGGAGTACATTTTGAGTTTGCTGATTATGTAATTAGAAGTGCCACTTTAATTATCATTAGTGGGAATTGCAGCCCTACAGATTCATCTGGCTAGGACTGTGAGAGTCCTAAGCAAAGTTACTTGCCTTGTAAAGATAGTAGCCATTCAGAACGGGAGATTTAAACTGAGCTGGCACCAGCTGGTGGCTTCTCACTTTTAAAATGGGAAGCTATTTTCACAGTCTTGTGATACTGAAGAACAGCTCTACACCATTCTTCTCAAATTGCCCCCAAATGCATCTTTGAGCTGAAATCAACTGTGGAACATTTCAGCTGAAAAAATGTTTATTCAGAAAGTTTGAGTGTTCTTTAGAAATGGATGGTTATAATGGAAACTGCTCGACTAGTTCAACCATCGCTTTCTTTGCCAGCAAAAGTTATAAGTAATTATATTTTCTTTAGTGACCGAGGGCCAGAATTTGAAAGGTATTTAGGCACTTAAAGATGCAGATAGGTGACTTGTGGGATTTTAAAAAGTTTGTTTAGGTGATGAGGCACCTATTAGAATTTTCAGGATTCCTAAGCACCTAAATACCTTTCAAATTCTGGCCCTCCAGGCCTATCAAGTGCCCATCAAAGTCAATGGATACTAAGTGAAGCCCACTGCTTTAAACACTTATGCACGTGAGCAACTATGCAAGGTATATGAGGCTATTTACATGTGAAATTACTCACCTGCATAAATTTTGGCTTCTTAAACTATTCAACAACTCCTGTTATCACTACAAAGCCAATGCAGAAATAGGGAGGAGGGATGTCATAAACCTTGGCAAAATTTATATTTATACAGTAGACCAAAATGTGTAAGAGGCAGTTATCAGATTAATAATCTGTGTGTTTAAGTACTGTATTCACAAAAAGAAAGGGAGGACTTGGGGCACCTTAGAGACTAACCCATTTATTTGAGCATAAGCTTTTGTGAGCTACAGCTCACTTCATCGGATGCATTCAGTACTGTATGTATCTACAGAACAGGTTGATCTATTTCAATCTAGTTTAAGGGTGCTCATGTGCTGCTTTTGAAGGGTTTTTGTTATTAAAACTCAAAAAAATAATAGAAGTTGTTGTTGTACAGATAGGGACAAGAGCCCAGTCAGAGAGAATTCGTACCTATAACTTCACCCAGGACAGAGTCACTGACCACAGGATCTCATATGATGTCCGCAATATCAAGGTAGTTATGTTATGATAATACATGTAAAATCTGTTCAAGAGAGACAGTGTGTATGTACCTATATACATTCTTCTTATATCACTAGCCAGAGTTAATCTTGTGAAAGTAATTACTAAATTTGTCAGGAAGCTAAGAGTGGACAAAAATTGTGAAGTACCATTAAATGCCACTAACTACTGAACATCATTATAGGTTGGGAAAGCCTATATCTTTCTTTCCATCCTTTGTGATATATTATTAAAGGTGAGATACAAAAGAAAATCACTAGCCCCATTCTTTTGTTTTTTGTTTCTCTATTGTATAAAGAAGGCCTGATAAAGCACACAGTACTCACCTGAGACATTTAGTGAGTCCTTCACCAAACCAGGGAGGACTAGACTTGACATTCTTGATATATGTAAGGTAAAAAAGCAAGAAGTTGTTTGTTTAAAAATTGAAAAACAAATGGACTGCTCCAACCCACAACTTCCAGTCTGTCTTTATATGGTATAGAGGCAAAAAACACACCCTTTAAAACTTTTTGTTTTGTTTTGCTTTTTTTTCTTTGCAGGTCACCTTTAAAGGAAACAGAAAAGTTTCTTTTTAAGGTTATCTGACATTATATTTCTTGGTAAAATTCTATATATGGTTATATTTTTTTCACTTGAATGTGCCAAACAAATACATGATATGCTAGTATTCTGTGTGAGTTCAATTTATGGGTAGATTTTGGAATAGTTTTAGCTTTTGGGCTAGTCTGTGTTGGATTGATTTTTAACTCTTAGGATGGGTTTCAAGATTGAGTTTGTTCTATGATTTGGATTTACATTTTAGGATTAGATTTAAATTTTATTGCTCAGGTTTAAGATTTAATATTATTGCAGTCACAGAGCAAATAGCATGTACTTAATTGTGCCAAACAATGAGCTAGACCCCTTAGAGAACACAGATCCCTGCCCTTGAATATTTACAATATGTTAAGATGTGACATACAAGTGAGGATCATTACAAAAATAACAGTGTGGGGGAGAATTAGACAAGGTTCAATAAATAAGATCTCATGACAATTTAGATTATTTACTTGTTCATCTTATTTTTTAGGATCCTGTTCTGATACCTTTACTCACATTGAATAGTCCCGTACTCCAGAAATTGTCCAATTGAAGTCAATGGAAAGTTTTGTGAGTAAGCTGCAACTCAGCATGAGTAAAAGTACCAGAATTTGGTCATTATTCATTACAATATCCTACATCCCATCCATTCTTGCTAGATTAATTAACTTCTTTTAGGCAATGGGGTTTGACAGATACAAGATGTTGCCAGTATTTCCTTTTGTTATTGCCAAGAAGATGCTTTGTAACCGTACGCTGTTCTTCAGCAGCATGCCTTCGACTGACTCATTTACACCACCCAAAACTGATGTCACACCAGGGGAGTAATGCAAAATTGATGGGTTGATGCATAAAGATCAGGATTCATGCAAATATTATTCCAGGAATTTTTCTTGATTGATCAGCATTCAAAAAATGCTGGTCTGTACTAATCATTAATGCTTCTCTCTTTCATTTTATAGGAATTTCTCTGTGGTGAGGGGGCACTGGATGAGCTAATCAACAGGTTGTTGGAATCTGCAGAGATGGAAGCCCTAATTGAACATTTAGAAAACTTTAAATCTTTAGAAGGAGGAGGCTGATATAGGTCTTGTACTAAATACAACACCAGTCCTTGTAATTCTGTAGAACAATAAAATGGAAGTATTTGTTAGATGGCAGATGTTGATAAAATCTGTGTCTTTCTTTCCCATATTCTGTGGTCAAATATGAAGTTGTATTTTTTTTTTTAATGGTGCAACATGGCTTTTGAAAATATTCGCATATCAGCTTTGTTTTTGTTATTTTTGTGTAGAATTTAGTACTAGTGAAAGGTGCCAGCCTAAGAGCAAACTGAAATCTTCAGTTTATCCACAGAACAGTGCAGGATCCCCTGGGCAGGATCGTCTGGGAGGCTAATATGATGGGGAAAGTAGTTCAGGAGTGCTGGTTGTATTTTAAGAAGCCTTAATGAGGGCGCAGGAACAAACCATCCCGATGTGCAGAAAGAATAGCAAATATGGCAGGCGAGCAGCTTGGCTTAACAGAGAAATCTTCGGTGGGCTTAAACACAAAAAGGAAGCTTACAAGAAGTGGAAACTTGGACAGATGACTAGGGAGGAGTATAAAGATATTGTTCGAGCATGCAAGGGTGTAATCAGGAAGGCCAAAGCACAACTGGGGTTGCAGCTAGCAAGGGATGTGAAGGGTAACAAGAAGGATTTCTACAGGTATGTTAGCAACAAGAAGGTGGTCAGGGAAAGTTGGGGACCCTTACTGAATGGGGGAGGCAACCTAGTGACAAATTATGTGAAAAAAGCTGAAGCACTCAATGCTTTTTTTGCCTCGGTCTTCACAGACAAGGTCAGCTCCCAAACTGCTGCTCTGGGCAGCGCAGTATGGGGAGGAGGTGAGCAGCTCTCACTGGTGAAAGAACAGGTTAAGGACTATTTAGAAAAGCTGGACATGCACAAGTCCATGGGGCCAGATCTAATGCATCCGAGGGTGCTGAGGGAGTTGGCTGATGTGATTGCAGAGCTATTGGCTATTGTCTGTGAAAACTCATGGTGATTGGGGGAGGTCCCGGATGATTGGAAAAAGGCAAGTATAGTGCCCATCTTTAAAAAAGGAAAGAAGGTGAATCCGGGGAACTACAAACTGGTCAGCCTCACCTCAGTCCCTGGAAAAATCATGGAGCTGGTCCTCAAGGAATCAATTCTGAAGCACTTAGAGGACAGGAAAGTGATCAGGAACAGTCAGCATGGATTCACCAAGGGCAAGTCATGCCTGACTAATCTAATTGCCTTCTATGACGAGATAACTGGCTCTGTGGATGAAGGGAAAGCAGTGGACGTGTTGTTCCTTGACTTTAGCAAAGCTTTTGACACAGTCTCCCACAGAATTTTTGCCAGCAAGTTAAAGAAGTATGGGCTGGATGAATGGACTATAAGGTGGATAGAAAGCTGGCTAGATCGTTGGTCTCAACAGGTAGTGATCAATGGCTCAATGTCTAGTTGGTAGCAGTATCAAGTGGAGTGCCCCAGGGGTCTGTCCTGGGGCCGGTTTTGTTCAATATCTTCATTAATGATCTGGATGATGGGATGGATTGCACCCTCAGCAAGTTCACGGATGACACTAAGCTGGGGGGAGAGGGAGATAAACTGGAGGGTAGGGACAGGGTCTGGAGTGACCTAGACAAATTGGAGGATTGGGCTAAAAGAAATCTGATGAGGTTCAACAAGGACAAGTGCAGAGTCCTGCACTTAGGATGGAAGAATCCCATGCACAGGCTACAGGGGACCAACTGGCTAGGTGGCAGTTCTGCAGAAAAGGACCTGGGGATTACAGTGGATGAGAAGCTGGATATGAGTCAACAGTGTTTTGCCAAGAAGGATAACGGCATATTTGGCTGCATTAGTTGGAGCATTGCCAGCAGATGGAGGGAAGTGATCATTCCCCTCTATTCAACACTGGTGAGGCCACATCTGGAGTATTGCGCCAATACTGGGCCCCTCGCTACAGAAGGGATGTGGACAAATTGGAGAGAGTCCAGTGGAGGGCAACAAAAATGATTAGGGAGCTGGGGCACATGACTTACAAGGAGAGGCTGAGGGAACTGGGCTTAAGGACTAGATAACCTCCTGAGGTGTCTTCCAACCCTAATCTTCTATGCTAGGCAATGCAGGCTTCCTCTCAGGGGGTCTCGAACCTTGATGAAGAAGGAGTCAGAGTGCAGGTTCGTTTCTATGCCTGTTCAGTCCTGGGCCCCTTGGCTCTGTAATTCCATTTGTGGAGGTGGCTTTGCAATCTAGATGTGTCCCAAGAGAATAGGGCTGAGACCACCACCAACTTCCAGTCACTACTGACTGGGGTTAAACCAGTAATAAACAGCTCATCTACGCATGCCATGACAGCCAGCCTCCCAGGCCGACTGACCGATTTGGGCTTGCAGTAGTGCTCTAAAGATAGCTGTGTAGACAACGCTTTGAAGTCGCAGCTCGGACTGGAGCTCAGGCTCTGAAGCGCACCCTCCTCCCTCGGCTTCTGACCTGAGCTCCAGCCCAAGCTGCAACTTCAAAGCACTGACTACACAGCTATTTTTAGAGCGCTAGAGCGAGCCCTGGAAGCCTGAGTCTGTAAACCTGGCATGGGAGGCTCACTCCCGTGGGCTGTGTAGACCTATACCTGAAGGCTCTGATCCAGCCCGTTCCCCTAAATTCATTCTATAGTAAATTCAATACTTCTTAACATGGGCCCAGATCATCCCCTCTCAAATTAAACCCCCTGGCAGGAGCTGTAGGAATGGAAACCTCTGCAAGCTCTCCCCTCCCTCCCAAGATATCCACACATCATCCCATCAAGGGGTGGGGCAGGGCACTCACTCTGCCCCCCCCAAAATACCCAAAACCTGGAAGATTGCTAGGAAGCCATGGAAGGCCAAGGCTACCAGTGTGGCAGACCTTGTCTCTGACCATCAGGTGGGCCCTCTTCCTCAGTATTTTGGCGATGTGGCTTTCTACACAATTCATAACCTATCTGGAAACAGTATTCAAAGAGAATAAAGGAAAATCCAACAAATTCACAAATAATTTGATCAGCTCTAGTATGTGTGTGTCAGCTCAGGTGGGAATAAGAGGTTTTAAAAAAAATAACACAAATTACTTCACCAATTCATTACACAGCTTCAGCAACATACAAGGTTTTCTTAGAAGGTGGGTATTTCATCATATTACATTCCAGTTCCAGAATTAATTAGTTAAACCTTATAAAGTACTCAAAGATAAAAAGCTCTATCAGAGTGCTAAAAAACAATAACCCGAAGCCTCACTTCTAGTGTGTACGTGCAAGAGAGATTTACTCCGCAGTGTTTCAACTGCAGCACCTTAGGGATACTTGCGACTAAGTTGGTTAATTTTCTTAAGCCCTTCCTTGTTGTTGATCGTTTTGTGCACGGTGATGAGAAAAGGGAAAGCAGAAGGGAGTTCCACTCTGCTGCTTAACTTCTGATGTCCCCAGTGCAGGCACTGAAGTTTATCAGCCAGGTCCTTTCTTCCAGCCTGCTCCAGGGCATCCTGAAGGATCTTTGTCTTGTTAAGTTTATTCCATGATCGTTCATACCTGCATTTGTCACATCAAACATTACAGCATCGTGATCAGTCAATATAAGATATACGTCATCCCCATTTGTACTTGAAGTGCACCAACTGCTATGCCAGGTTTCAGAGTAGCAGCCGTGTTCGTCCGTATTTGCAAAAAGAAAAGGAGGACTTGTGGCACCTTAGAGACTAACAAATTTATTTGAGCATAAGCATGAGCATCCGATGAAGTGAGCTGTAGCTCACGAAAGCTTATGCTCAAATAAATTTGTTAGTCTCTAAGGTGCCACAAGTCCTCCTTTTCTAACTGCTATGCCATATTTTATAAAAATGTATTTATTTACCGCCCCCCAACAGAAAAGATACTGTTTGAGGCCTTATTTTCCTTCTAACATCTACTGCCATCCTAGGATTGCAATGGAGATAAGAGCAGGGACACTGTAGCAGAAAGTAGTCTAAGCTCCTGGGTCTGCACTTCCAGTAAGAAAATCAACACTGGTGGAGCTATACCCGTTGTGAATTACTGGTCCTAATTTCCCATGGCCAACATTTGCAAAATTGGGTACCCTAAATTTAAGGTCTTTGGTCCACATTTAAGTACTTAAAACAGGGCATGATTGTCCATAGTGCTGAGCAACCAGCAACTCCCATTGACTTTAATAGAAGCTGCTGGATGCTCAGCACTTGCAAAAATCATCACTACCAAGAAATAGTCCTCAGATGGATGTTATTCTAAACCTACTTATGGGAGTGGTATTAATGACAAACCACAATGTTAAAAGGGAAAGAAAAGTGCCTTTTATAATGGGAGGAAATACACCCCAGAGAGAATACAGTTGCTCATTGTATCCCTGTAGAACAAAGCAGGTACAGATTAAACCAAAGTACTATACTGTACAGTAATCCTTATTGCCTTATAGTTTGAAGTTTGCCTGTAAAATAAAAATTGTAACAAACAAATCAAATACCTGCTTTACCTCTCACTTTCTTCAATACTCATGACTGTGTATAATCCCGACCTGGTACTTTGGTATAACAATGGTAATCATTATTAGGCAATACTTTTTCAGAGATTCCAAATCCAGAAGGGACCATTGTGATCATGACCTTCTGTATAACACAGGCCACAGAACTCTCCCCCCAAAATTTTTAGAGCTTCTTTTTAGAAAAACATCCAACCTTGATTTGAAAATTGTTAGTGATAGAGAATCCACCATGACCTCTGGTAAATTGTTCCAATGGTCAGTTACCCTCACTGTCAAAATTTATGCCTGATTTCCAGTCTGAATTTGTCTAGCCTCAACTTCCAGCTATTGGACTGTGTTATAACTCACTCTGTTGAAGAGGCCATTATTAAATATTTGTTTCTCATATAGATACTTCTGGACTGCAATCAAGTCACTCCTTAACCGTCTCTTTGTTAAGCTAAATAGATTGAGCTCTTTGGGTATGTTTACACTGTAATAAAACACCCATGGCTAGCCCAGGTCAGTTGACAAAGGCTCTCAAGGTTTGGGCTGTGGAGCTATAAAACTGCAGCACAGAAGTTTGGGTGGGCTGGATCTTGGGCTTTGCAGGGTCCCAGA